GAGGAGGTTGGTGGGGGTGTGGAGCTGCCTGTGGAGGAAGAACAGACCACCATTTAACCCTTTAAAGCCCGATCCAAGAATAAAACAAAACAGAAAAATTACTTTTTTTTTGGTTTGAATTCCTTATTTGGCCTTTTAACAAAATATGTAAAAATAAAAACAGAAATACATTTTTAATATTAATAATTTATTACTCAGTGGTAAATTAAGATTATTTGTTGTGTAGTCTTCTGCCCCCTGTTATCAGGTATATCTGAATGTGTACAACAGGGGTTTGAGCAAAGCTTTTACCACTGAATGATGCAAAAAGTCTCAGATCGAAAAGACTTCAGAAACCGTGTCAAATATGATACATTTGGCATTAAAGAGTTAATATTAATAATTTATTACTATGCGATAAGTAAGGATTCTTTTTGTGTAGTCTTCTGCCCCCTGTTATCAGGTGTATCTGATTGTGTACAACAGGATTTTGAGCAAAGTTTTTACAGTTAAATTATACAAAAGGTGTCAGACGCAAAACATTTCAGAAACCGTTTGAATCAAATATGACACATCTGTCATTATATGGTTAATCACATTTGTGACAGTCACATTTCTCATCAAATACCAATAAAACAAGGCCGAATGAGCCTCTTTGTGGACAACGCTGCTACCTGAAGTGTGAGATGGAGATGATGACCAGCAGGTTGAGCGTCACGGTGAGCAGAGAGATGGAGGACAGCATGATGTAAATCAGCAGGACCTCGAAGTGCGGCCGCCTGGGGCTCCTGCAGGAGGCGTTGAGCTGAGGGAAGCAGAGATCTGTGTCCTCCATCGCCTCAGGAGGAAGCAGCTTCCAGCCTCCAGGATCCCGCTGACCGCCGCCGTTTTTTAAGCTCCTCTCCTCCTCCTTTCTCATCCTCTCGCCGCTGTTTTCTGTCTCCGTGGAAACCGACGTCCTCAGACTGATACGCTCATTAACGGCTGTGAATAACCGCTTAATTGTTGTTTTCCTGATAGAAACTGTTGTACAGGACTGTCTCAGAAAATTTGAATATTGTGATAAAGTTCTTTATTTTCTGTAATGCAATTAAAAATCATGAAATGTCATACATTCTGGATTCATTACAAATCAACTGAAATATCGCAAGCCTTTTATTGTTTTAATATCGCTGATTATGGCGTACAGCGGAAGAAAACTCAAAAATCCGATATTCTAATATTTTGAGATAGGATATTTGGGTTTCACAGTCCTGTATATCTAAACCACTCAGAGAGCCTTTTGGACTCAGGTCACACAGAAAAACAAAAAGGAGTTTAAAAAAACCCTGTGATCGTCTAAAATGGAGCGCTTCTTTGTGAAAACTACAGTGAGCTGCTTTGTTAGCACTATAAAGCAACATGTGTCATATCTGATACACCGACTTCTGAAATCTTTTGCATCTGAGCGCTTTTGCATCATTTGATGGTAAAAACTGTGGTCAAAACCCTTCTGGACACAGTCAGATAAACCTGACAACAGCAGATAGAAGACTACAGACAATCATTTTGACTTATCATACAGTTATAAATATTATTCCTGTTTATTTTTTCAGATTTAGCTGAAAGGCCAAATAAAAACAAAACAATAATTTTATCTTTTTTTCTTGCATCAGGCTTTAAAAGACTACAGAACACCTGTAGTCATCTCTGCATGCAACACAAACACAAACATTTTGAGGATAATTTCAAATTAAACAATCTCTCCTCTCATTCATGAACCAAAAGGTCTTTTGCTTCAGTAACTTCTCTGTTACTTGGTTTATGATTGTTGAGTTTACTGGGGTTAAATTTACCAAAATTAAGTAGATTTGGAGGAAGTACCTGACTGTAAATGTGCCCACTGGAAACTATTCATTTTCAGAGCTGTAGGCCACAAGTCAAAGTGCTTTCACTGGTTCACCAGAATATAAACTGTTATAGAACATAATCCATCATCTTTACTTTAAAAGTCTACATTTCTGTTCCTTAGCTTTTGATTTCAGAGTGACATTGCTTCAAAGTGCATAGAAAGATGTTCAAGGCTTCCAGTTATTCATTTAACCCTTTAAAGCCTGATCCAAGCATAAAACAAAACAGAAAATTACTTTTTTTTGTTTTTAAGTCTTCATTTGGCCTTTTAACAAAATATGTAAAAAGAGAAATACATTTTTGACATTAATAGTCTATTACTATGCGATAGGTCAAGATTATTTTTTGTGTAGTCTTCTGCCCCCTGTTATCAGGTGTATCTGAATGTGTACAATAGGTTTTTGAGCAAAGTTTTTACCATTAAATTATGTAAAAGGTGTCAGACGCAAAACATTTTAGAAACCTTATGAATCAGATATGATACATTTGGCATTACAGGGTTAAAATTCGGCCTAATGAAAAGATGATATGGGAAGATGCAGGCTGGACGGACAAAGAAAGAGGTGGATGCTTGAATTACATGTTCCTGCTTTGAGAGTTGTTATCGGACATTTACCTGGAGTCATGACAACAATACTACAGTGGTGAAATACTCAGTATGTCAAAAGGCCGGTTAAAAGTTAATGTCACAGGAGTCGGGCTTCAGGATCTGAAGGGTCACAATGAGCTTGATTGATTTTCTGAACCAGGGGTAGAAAAACACATAGATTATGGGGTT